TTCTCAGCAGGTTGCGCTCTGATCCGGCTAAAGTGCTGCCTTTTCTGCCCTCAAATAAACGTGAGGGTGAGAGTTGCATGGTTGATTTTTAATTTAATCTTGTAAAAATTCAAATATTTTCCCAATCAGAAATAAATGTTTTGCTTTAAAATTGTTAAAGACTAACAGGCCAAGTGAATAATACAGCTTTATTAAGTTCTATAAATAAATTGTTATGGAGTAGTATATTTTCTGTTTCATTCTCATACAAAGAACGCAACATTTTCTCAGGTTTCAGGGCAACGCAAAGCAAGAGTTCCCATATAAAAGGGCAGAACTTTTTTTGAGAAAAGAAAACGCTATGAGTAAGAGCTGTAAAATAAATCGGTCTTAATGAATGGATAATGTGAACACCTTATAATGAAGGTGTTTAATAAATCGTAGTTGTGGACATATATATAATGAATGTGTTTTACCGATTCATTTGGGGTGTTCACAGTTCGTTCCAAATTGTGTCTGAAAATGTAGACGTCTACATTTTGAGACATCTTTAGCATCAAACTGTGAGCACCCCTTTCTAGCAGTCGTCGCAAAATCGTCTCAAAACTTTGCTGGTGTTGCCAGACATTTCTTCTTTGCGTGCTTTTTTATATGTCGCCTTTCGATTTTGTTTCTGAAAAATTGTAATTATTTAACTTAATTACCAATTCCTAATATTTGTTATTTCTTTTCCTTGATTTATTTCTTTTCATCAGAAATTGCGCTCAAATTAAATGCAAATATAGAAAACGTGCCCAATAAATAAAAAAATGCGATTAGTATTGCCATAATGCAACCCTGCTGCGAGGTTGCAAAATGTAGACGCGTAAAAAACATACCTTTGAGTGTGACAAAATGTAGACGGCGTCGTTTTCCAATTTTGTATGGGAAACAACAACACCACAGATTTTACGGTTAGAAAACGTCTTAAAATGTAGACGTCTACATTTTGAGACACTATTTGGAACGAACTGTGAACACCCCAATTTAAATAAAGTGGCAATACCAAACGTCTTCTAAATTTTCATTTGAGGCCCTGTGCCAATTGATAGAAAATAGAAGATTTTGACGGATCAAAGTAAAAATTTGACACTTCTCGTGGTGAATACGAACGTCAAAATTTTACCTAGCTCATGGGGCTAGGTAAAATTTTGACAGCTTATAACCATGTATACACATAATGTTGCTTGGCGGTAATAAGGAGTGAACATGAAAATGGAAGCTGAAACAGCATAAAAAAGCGTACGTTACTTGCATATTATAAAATAAATATAAATTTTAAGAATTTCAGCAACACACAAAAATAAAGCTTTCGCACGAGCGTTTGTTTGGTTTTTCAACTGTCAAAAGTTTACTCGGCATTTGGCACAGCAGAATTCAATTTATTTGTACACCATAGCAAATTTTTCCACCCCGTCTCACCACGGAGAAAAAAGTTACCGATTGGCACAGGCCCTGAGTGTGTGTTTTTGTTTACATTTTAATATATCAAGAAGATATAATATTGTTGATATTTAATAGGGAATTTACATGAGGCGATTTTACAGGCAACTTTTAGTTGAATGCAGCAGTTGAATGGTGTAAATGGCCTTTCAACTAATCGCTTTCAATGAAGTTGGTCAGCTGCCTACTTGGGTTAAACTTTTGTTTCAACTAATCGCTGGTGAATGTTGAATCATGTAAATTCGCTAAACAATTTACATATATTACTTTACTTAATTAAACAAATCATAATCTGTTAAAATGCACGAGTTTTAGTAAAAAATTGTGTAGAGTGCGTATATGAAAAAAAGGTTTTTCACCATATAAGCGGATAAAGGCGGAGCTCCATAGCATGCGTATCCGTATGCGTGAGTTTGACATTTACGCTTAGAATTCCAAATTCATAAATTTTTGTTTTATTTTCATGCGTGTTGGTACGCATACGCATGCTATGGAGATCTAAAAAACAACCATCGGATTTTTGATACTGCCAGTCGAGTCGAGTAGGTACCATGTGGACCTTTTCTTGACGTTCCCACGACAGTTGGGCCTACGTTCACTAAAAGGGATAATCACCGGTACGTTAACCCACAGATGTGCTTAGCCGATCATTAAAAACTGCTTAATCTGCATTAAAAAAAAATAATAATAAAAACTAAGAAAGTTAATTTTTAATACCTTCTGTATATGAAGATGGCTGGCAGTTCTGGAAGCTGTCATATTGTCAGTTTTGGGGTAAGCAGTTTCGGTTTCAACTGGACAGCTTGCTTGATCAACTGCAACTTGTCTAAGATTGTCTGAAAAAGGTAAGAAAAATTAGAGAATATTCCTTTATTTATATCAAATAGGTATTACCTTTTATGGAAGTGGAAATTGAAGGAAGTTTCACGTATTTCGCCACAGCAGAATGATTAGCAGTAGAAAAAGCCTCTGTCAAATGGGCTGATGTAAAACTTCCTGTGCCTTGGGTCCTTGCTGTCAATAAATTAAAGGAGTCGGTACCAATTGAAGATTTGGCAACAGTATTGGACGGAATTATTCGTGGTTGGGAGGTGGGCGGAACTACAGAAAGCATTTTCGATCTTAAGTCAACTATTTATATAAAAAAAAAAATAATATATGTAAGTTAAAACGTAAGCACTTCTATATAAAATTTACTTTTATGCGTCACAGGGTACGGTACAGAATTATTAAAAGTAGTGGTAGTCCTCAATTTTTTTCGGTCAATAACGAAAATCCGTTTTTGTTCTGAAATATAATTTTTTTTGTTTATCATTTAAAAAAATGTTTTTAAATTTTTTCAATAGCATTACCTTTCAGTGAGCCGTTGGGGTCCATTTTCGATTTTTTAAGGTATTTAAGTTTGGCGATTGGAACTGAATAGCGATATTATTTGAGTAAAGTAAATAGAAATGTATGTATATGTGGGGTTTTAAATGATTAGTTCGAAAACTCGTAAAATAAGTGGTGTAGAATTGGGATCAAAAGAAACTCATTATTGTATGGGATACTAAAAATTTATATTGAATATCTGATTTGCGGATTTTAAACTTTTCATAGCTCAATTGACCTGCCGTTAATATACCAAGTGCAGATACAGATTCAAGCGGTTCCTCAAACAAATTATTAATTTGTTCAAAAGCATATCCTAAGACTACATCCTGCCCCAATTCTCTTGAAGTTTCAACGATTTTGAAAGGCCCTGTTACTGGACTGAAACAAAACGAATCTTTTTCCTTTTTTGGATCTATTTCGAAGGAAACAAATTTTGTGTTTTTAGGCATTTCTACATTTTTCCTTTCGTCGAGTCTTAGAAATAACTGCTGTAGAATGTTTGTAGGTTTTTTAATAAGCCTTTTCAAATATTGCAAATAATTTTCAAATTTGTACGCGGAGAAATTGTCCAAGGGTCCATATTCTTTAGCGCATTGAGATAAATGCAGCAAACCGTGCACATTAAAATTATAACGTGATCACCAAAAATGTTCCCAAACAAATCAACAAAGTCTTCTAGCAGTTGTTGAGCCACATTTGCTTCTGTTTTATACAATATTTCAGATGATAAAATTCGTATTCCCGAATGTAGTAAAAGGAAGTGTAGTAGAGATCATCAGCAATGCAATCTTTTAATATAAATACTCTTAATAAATATACTCTGTGGATTTCCAATTGCTGATTTCATTTAAATTTCTACACACCCGACCAAACTCTGATGGCACCCAAGTGGAAACAAAGTCAAATTTTTTATTCATTCTTGTTATATCAGCTCTCTTCAGCAAGAATTGAAGCAATTTCTTTGCCACGCCGAGATCAACAATGTGCATGGGATCTAATGGGATCTGGGATACCATTCCAAAGCCCGCTTTTTGCAATATATTTCCCTCTAAAAATGTCAAACTATGATGTGCCTCATCCTCCCTATTTCTGAAAGATTCGTCTGTTCTTAATTGCCCTACTTGCTTCGAAAAGCACACTCTCTTTTGTACATATTTACCCATTTGAGAGCATTTGGGGCAACTATTTTTTCCAGTATGACTTTGAACACCGCAAACAAAAGCACGTGCTGGAGAATCACAAGTAAACAACCGAATATTAAATTTTGTTAGAGCGATTTTTTATTAAAAATTTTCGCCTGCGGCGCTTGTCCTTTTTTTTTATATATTGGGGGTATTTAACCCCATACCCTCCTTTACTACTAATTCAACACTGAGCAGGAAAATGGGTACGATAAAAACTATTCTCTTTTATTGTTATTTTCTTAGATGTGGCTGCACTCTTCTAATGTCAGTGTGAAACCATGGTTGAATCAACGGTTCTGTATTCACAATGTGCGTATACATATATAAGTGCGTGATAATTATTAAAACTTACTTAATTTACTAAAAATACATCATAAATGTAAAAAGTATGTTTACATTTCATTGTGGGGGTTTTAATAGGCGCGTTCCTTATCTCCCAGAAATAGTCAGAAAAAGTCTGAAGTAGTCAGATTTAGTCAAAAAAGCGTTCCTTAACTCGGAAATGACAGCAAAAATGAGAGAGCA